TAATCAATTAGGCTGTAACGTGGCTGTGCAAACATAGAACCTTTGCTTAAGAGGTTGAAATTTTCGGCGCGAATTTCTTTGGATATTACAATGAAGTATGAAGCGAAATATTATCTGTTGGTCAGCTGACGTTTTTAAAAGCTTAATAAATATATTTTTGGTTTGTTATCGTGTCTTTTGTTATTTAAATTTTCGAATATTCACAGTTCCCTTGTCAGAGATAACACGCTGATAATTAATCAAAGGTATTTTACTAATTATATTTAAAAAAGAACATTTTTCGTTTTCTAAAGCTTTCGTTGTCATGATCTTGAATTGTTTAAAATCAAGAACTAAAAATAATGCAAGGTTATCCTGCCTACCTCACTAAAACGTGATTCTTGTAAATAGAGACTTGTGTGAGAGTGCACATTGGATTCGATTCGGGTTCAAACGTATTTGCCGAAATGTATTTTTTTAAGGGATTTTATGACCTGGTAACTAAGACCTTTAAGTCATGTCTTATTTTAATTTATATTAATATTTTTATGAAAAATGATATTATGTAGTGAAATGAAATGAAGATGATTAATTTGAAACATTAATCAACTAGGATGAAATGAAATGGGATGAAATATAATCTCAGTAAAATGGTGGTCATCTACTGAGACTTTTTCATTGGTCTTTTTGGCGGATCCCGAGAAGTGACGTCCAGCGGCTTTGTTTAATTTTCCCACATTTGTGCACTTTCTCAGATATTAAACAGTTAATAAACCACCATTTTTACACATTTAAACCCGAAGAAACACTAAATAGACAAAATAAAACAAATCACACAACTTCACTCCTCGCGTTCCCGCCAAAAAGTCCCCGAAATGTATGTACATTGTAACATAACCTTTATAAGTACAGAGCATTTTTTTTTAAAGATTTTATATATTGGTATCTGGACCTTTAAGCCAGCTTATTTAATAAAATCGATTACTTAGGATGTCGTCTTTAATTTTACATTTCAATATTCAATTATTCACAAAATCTATCCGCCTTTACTTTAACCATTTTTTATTGAAATCAACCTCCAGATTTGCTTACAGTTTATACACTAATACAAAACTTATTAATTTTAAGGACAAACAATGTTTTTATTTTACATTTTCCTTGTTTTTGGATAAGCATACGAAGATGTCATTGTAGATTTTAAGGTGATATTCGATGCATTTATTTAAACTAGAGGTCCCGCAGTAGTCGAAATTCGACTATAATTAATTGGAATTGTAAGTTTGTACACTATTATTATTGTATTTTATACTTCTATAATCACAAATTTCGCCAAGACTACACTATAAAAAATATTAACAAAGACAAACAACATTTAATCTATTCTCAATTTGACAACAGACGTCAAGAACAACATAAATAGTATGCATGCGTGTGTGCGTCATACATGGTATGTAGTGTGTGTAATGTTTTCTTTATTGATTTAATGTATCTTTTATGCATTATTTAAAAAAAAATATTAGCATTGTGCACTTTTTCTCTATATTCTCTATAAGTGTGGAAAATTTCACTCCTCCGTCCGCGCAATTTTCGTAAAAAGGGATACAAAGTTTTTGCTTCGCGTAATATAGATAATAAATGGGTATTCAAATAAAATAATTCGCACAGTCTCAATCTACTCCGTACTTAAGATCTACTAGCAATTGCCCAAGGAAGTTACCTCATCAATTTGAGCCATAAATACAATCATACACATTTGCCAATGCCCAGTCTCATAATAAAATAACAAAAAACCTGCCATTAACTTCGGACACGGTAGTTATAAAATTGTGAGCGTAATAAATCGTAACGTTCTAACAAGTGAGGTAGTTGCGCTTAAGGAAGATGTTGCCTAAACAATACTCATTTAAAAAAAAAAATTGAAAAAAAGTTTCTACAATGAAATATGTATGTAATATTAAATATGTGTATTAAATTGTATTAAGCTGTGGGCAGCGGCTCGGTTCTGCCCCTGGCATTGCTGAAGTCCATGGACTACGGTAACCACTCACCATGAGGTGGGCCGTATGCTCGTCTGCCTACAAGGGCAATAAAAAAAAAAAACTTTCTAAAGCTAATCTATAATCTACTCATGTATTCATTGAAACAAAAAGTTAATTTAATTGATATTTTTGGAATGATTTTGTTGATATCCTTAAATTAGTCTAACTTGTTAATGTTATTTATAGCTAACAAAAAGTATTTTCGAAAAGCAATATTTTTTCTGTTAACGCTTTTTATATCTATACATATAAATAAAATTGGAGTGTCTGTTTGTAATATTGAAATAACCGCTTTTTACTACATGCATATGAATATTATTATATATACGGTACATAAACCAAAATAACATTTTTTACAATTTTTGTCTGTCTGTCTGTCCCGACTAATCTCTGGAACGGCTGGACCGATTTTGACGAGACTTTCACTGATAGGTAGCTGATGATATAAGGAGTAACTTAGGCTACATTTTTCAACTAGCTTCGCTCCGCGGCGTCACCTGCGGTGCGACAATAACCGCGGGTAACATCGCGGGACTCAGGTATCAATAATTTTAATATTTCCGAAGCGAAGCGAGGGCGGGTCGCTAATTATACATAATATTTGCTTTGCCATCAACTCTAGTTTGTCCTTTTGTAAAGTTTATTTACATCTGACCTTTGAAATGTTTGGTTTACGTAATGTGTTTGAATCTCGAATTTTATGAATGATATCTTCATTTCTAAGAGAGAATTTGCGTTTGAAAAGTATATTTCGGATATTACTCGACGCATATCAATCTATATATTAATACGTTAAGCAAAAACTTTGTATCCCTTTTTACGAAAATTGCGCGGACGGAGGAGTATGAAATATTCCACACTTATAGAGAATATAGAGAACAAGTGCATAAAGCTAATATTCTTTTAAAATAATGCATAAAAGTTACATTAAATCAACAAAGAAAACATTACACACACTACATACCATTTATTTGACGCACACACGCATGCATACTATTTATTGTCAAACTTTTGTTCTTGACGTCCGTGGTTAAATTGAGAATAGATTAAATATTGTTTGTCTTTATTAATATTTCTTTAAAGTGTAGCCTTGGCGAAATTTGTGATTATAGAAGTATAAAATACAATCATAATAGTGTACAAACTTACAATTCCAATTAATTATAGTCGAATTTCGACTACTGCGGGACCACTAGTATTATTATAATATACTCCCGATAGAAGTGTGTTCATTTTGGTTACAAAAATTTAGATGCTTAAAATGAATCCGGCCGATATTGATCAATAGGAAACTAGTTGTCTTCTATCAGGACAACGTCATAATATTATTGTCTACAAGGATCCCGAAAAAGATATTGGGAGAGTTCACGGACGCTTTGATTCATTCAACATCTGAGCTGGAGTTTCCCCACGTCCGACCACATATTGTCATGTCAAAAGATATTTTGCAACACAATTTGCTGGGTTTACCATTAAATTCAAACATCGATACCGAACATGCCTTTGCCAATTTTCGTCGATTAACAAAAACTAGTGGTCCCCCGGTAGTCGAAATTCGACTATAATAAAATTAATTGAAATTATAACTTTGTACACTATTATGATTCTATTATCAAAGACTTATTATACACCTATAACTACAGATTTCGCCAAGACTACACTTTAGACAAATATTAATATAGACAAACAATATTTAATCTATTCTCAATTTGACCACAGACTATAAGCAATAAGGAAAGTTTGACAATAAACAAATAGTATGCATGCGTGTGTGTGTCAAATACATGGTAGCGTGTGTAATGTTTTTTTTTTATTGATTTAATGTATTTTTTGTGCATAATTAAAAAAAAATTAACATTCTGAACTCCTTCTCTATATTCTCTACTGGCTCCGGCTCCGCTCGGGTCCTTAACAAAAATTTCAACGATATTTGACGTTGTTTTTTTTTAATAAAAGAACACATATTGCAGCATTACTATAATAGGTAGACATATGCTGTCGCGACACTTATTATAAGTAATAATGTGTTCTAGAAAATCGTAATACATTATTTCATTCTATCATCAATAGTTTTCACAGGGCACGCGATGTAAAGCATATTTTATGTAAATTTTTTTACACCTTGGGTTACATTATTGGAGTTTTAATAAGGATCCCTAGTTTTTTTCAAAAAATATTATAGCCTATGTCACTCGGGAATAGTCTAGCTTCAAAACAGTGAAAGAATTTTTCAAATCGGTTCAGTAGTTTCAGAGCCTATTCAATACAAACAAACAAACAAATCTTTCCTCTTTATAATCACTACATAGTATAAAACAAAGTCGCTTTCTCTGTCCCTATATCCCTATGTATGCTTAAATCTTTAAAACTACGCAACGGATTTGGATGCGGTTTTTTTTAATAGAGAGAGTGATTGAAGAGGAAGGTTTACATGTATAAAAACATCCATTAAATAGTGGAGAAATCAATAATAAATTATAGTTTCCGAAGCGAAGCGAGGGCGAGTCGCTAGTATTAGTATAGAGGTATAGATAAGTGTGAGAAGTTTCAGTGCTCCGTCCGCGCAATTTTATTAAAAATGGGTACAAAGTTTCTGCTTCACGTATTAATTTATTATATACTAGCTTTTGCCCGCGACTTCGTCCGCGTGGAATAGTTACTTTGGCATAACACTAAATTTTACCCGCGACTTCATTTACAGTACTCAGGATTGGAACTTCATTACTGAACCGGTAGATGGCGTTGAAGAAGCTAGATTTTGAGATTTTTTGACAAACAATTTTTTAATTTTTCGTAAAAAAAAAAAATTTTTCTTAATAAAAAGTATCCTATGTTACTTCTGATACCTCAAAGAATATGTGTACAAAGTTTCATGATGATCGGTTGAGCAGTTTTCGCGTGAAAGCGTAACAAACAAACTTACATTCACATTTATATATATATTATTAGTAGGGATACATAGATACCGAAAACAGAACTCACCTCCTCGACGGATTTCTTCGAGAACTCGTTCATGGACGAGATCCATTGCTGCACGAGTTCGTTGACGATAACTAGATCGTTGTAGAGCCACGTCAGTACATCGTTCACCCATTGCACGCTCGGCTGATCTCCGCCCGTGCATGTGGGCACAGACACTGACTGATGCTTTTTGACGGTCAACTGCTCTGGTCCCGGGGACATGCGCCCCAACCTCTTCTTGTTCGGTGGAGTGGCGGGCACGAAGCCCGTCGCTTTAGTCGGCTTGAATGAGGCACTCTTAACTTTAGCACTGGTAGCGAGCACACTATCAGCACTGGAAACTATTTCGTTCGTTGTTTTTTTCGTCTCATCGATTTTTGGTTTATCAGCGTCCGTCGTCTTTTTAGCGAACCTCCCGTACGCCCATTTGGCGATCGCGATGATCGCTATGGACAGCACCATCCAAATGAACACCAACATGACCAGGTTGTCCATAGCTGTGTCCATGTAGTCGAAACTGCAGATGAGGTCGTCGACTGCTTCAGCTAGGTCTGCCATAGCTGTCCATGGTTTCCATGAGGAAGCGCGCGACTCTGACGCCTCACTTTCGGACGCTGACTGCGAGCTGAGCATTTTTTTTTTCTATTTCCGAATGCACTATTTCGGGACGCAGCTAGCTATCCCGCTCGCGCGTATAGCTCTGTCCTTGTTCGTTGTCGTTTTTTCGCAGCGTCGGGGTTAATGTTATTTTTCCGATGGCAACATTTATGATTGAGTGAAGTTCGATTCGTTCGCGTTTGGTTTTCGCGGTTTTACTTTTTTATTTTTTTAAATAATAGTATTGGTTTAGTCTGCCGGTCTATTTGTTTCTTATAACATTTTCCTCCTGAAACAAATAAAAAAAAATGTAAATTGTCTATTTGATAATTTAAAATTATATGAAACAGTTATTGATTGGAATTCAGGGGAAATATTCCATAGACATAAGTGAGCTTGGCAATAAATAAAGATTTTCCTTAAGCCTCTGTGTGTATTAAGAATATTGATTGAAGTTTGTTCATATAGATACTCTTTGAAATTACTCTACTAATTTACTTTGAAATTAAATAATTTTGCTTCGAAAGTTAACATTAATTATAAATTTATAATTAAAACGTTGACTGCCGTGTAGGTCACCGGTGCCCTACGCGGCGCCCTGAAGTCATTATATCGATTTCTGTCACTAAGGCGCCTGTATTGTCTAACTTTGCCTTCTTTTGTTTGTTAATGTATATTTCAGTATTTTAGGTCTCTTAGAGAAATAGATTAATTCTCGGTATCTTCGGATTCGTTTTTCCCAGAGGCTAATAGATATTCAGGCGCCACCGAAGCCCAAAGACATCTACAACGTAAAAGACGCCACCCACTTTGAGATATAAGTTCTAAGGTCTCAGTATAGTTACAACGACTACCCCGCCCTTCTAACCGAAACGCATTACTGCTTCACGGCAGAAATAGGCAGGGTGGTGGTATCTACCCGTGCGGACTCACAAGAGGCCCTACCATCAGTAAATAAGAAGATTGAAGAGAGAAATCGATCTTTATTTATAACCGTTGTAGGCAGACGAGCATACGGCCAACTAGATGGTGAGTGGTTACCGTCGCCCATGGACTTCAGCAATGTCAGGGGCATAGCCTAGCCGCTGCCTACCGAAAATACCGACATAATTACTTCAGTGAGAAAATTAAGATAGGAATACGTGTATCAAACACGGAACACAACAGCAAGTCTGTTAAAGGTCACGAACCATGAGCTGGCTTCAGGAAATGACCTAAATTCTCAGAGGTCAATAAATGTAACCTCTCTGAATTCGTTGAGAGGAGCAATCGTATAACGTGATTGATTATAGACAGTTTTACGAGTTAATTACGAATTTTATTCTTTTATAGACAGTTTTACGAGTTAATTACGAATTTTATTCTTGTCTCGAAAATATTCAGTAGGTACAGTATCCATTAACAAAAATAAATAATACATAGTTTAAAAAAAAAACTAACAAAATACGCTTTTATAGAAAATCCAACTAAAAAATAGAAAATAATTTTTAATAAATTTGAATTAAAAATTTATGCTAGAAAAAATTATTTGGTATTATAAAAAAAGCGTGGGGTGAATGGTATAAGTAGGTATAAATATTTTATGAACAGATATGATGTCCTTAATAAGTACACCAAATTTCGAGTCAATCCGACGTTTTGAAGGGGGTCAAAATCATGTTCAAAGATTCCGTTATAAACATACATACGTCTGAAGCTAATAAAAGCGTATTAAAAAAACAACCCATAGTTAAAACCACGTTGACTGTTTAATTTCAATTAGTTTTACTGTCATCAAAGACGTCATTGTATCAGTAACTAACTAATCAAAACTAACTGACTAAAACAAAACATCTTTATATTTTGTAGTTTTAGTAAGCACAATATAAAAAATAAGACTAATGTAGTTCGCGAAGCGGCTGCTCTTGAGTTGTTCGCCGCCTTCAGCTCTAATACTAGGAGCAGGCTTAGGGACCCCGGTAACCGTACTCGTCGAACTCGACAAAGAGGTCGACGTGCAACCTAACCCATGCATCTCAACGGGTCGCGATTCCGATCTGGTAGTAGATTTATTTGCGAAGCAGCTGCTCTTGAGTTGTTAGGTCTCCTTCGGAGGCGCTCGGGCAGCTGTTAGCAAATCCCTCCCCTCCTGGCTGAGCCTTTGCTCGCCCACCTCTCCTGGTGAAACTGGAAAGGCCTCCGAGCCACCAGTAATTAATGATGAATGAATTGTGAATGAATGATTTATTTTATATCAGACAACAACAACAAGTCCATATGTGTACATAGTATCATTGAAACATCCTTAATCAAATAAAAAATATATTATTAAAAATAATTATCAGTTGAATACATTTAAAATATTCCATTGAACTGATACTTACTTCGAACCAACCACTATTATTATTATTATTTTAATTAGTCCGCAAGTGAACTCGCAAAATTATAAATTGCGTAATTACTGGTGGTAGGACCTCTTGTGAGTCCGCGCGGCTAGGTACCACCACCCCGCCTATTTCTGCCGTGAAGCAGTAATGCGTTTCGGTTTGAAGGGTGGGGCAGCCGTTATAACCATACCTGAGATTTTGGAACTTATATCTCAAGGTGGGTGACGCATTTACGTTGTAGATATCTATGTGCTCCGGTAACCACTTAACACCAGGTGGGCTGTGAGTTCGTTCACCCACCAAAGTAATAGTGGTAGGACAAGAAGTCCTACCACTATTAGTCCTTTTTTTATTGCCCTTGTAGGCAGACGAGCATACGGCCCACCTGATGGTGAGTGGTTACCGTCGCCCATGGACTTCAGCAATGGCAGGGGCAGAGCAAAGCCGCTGCCTACCGCTGCCTACCTAACCTACACGATGTTATTCCTTCACCGTGAAAGTCAATCGTGAACATTTGTCAAGTACGTATTTTAGAGATAGATATAGAAAAATGAGTACCCGCCTGGGATTCGAACACCGGTGCATCGCTCAACACGAATGCACCGAACGTCTTATCCTTTAGGCCACGACGACTTAAAATATATTATGATGATATGATATTTATTACGATTCAATGATATTTTATATGTAAAAAGAAGCAGATATGTTTCAACCGCACGTCAAGTGAAGACTTGAAAACAGGCCAATTGGGACGTTTCGTCTTTAGTCGCGTCTAAACAAATGCAATAATAATTATAATATAACAAGTGCAATCGTTTCAATTATAGCTGTCTTTTTTACTCACGCGCTTATCCCAACTTTTGTACTTTTCATTAATGCTACTTGTCAACATGTTTGTGCACTATATCGGTAGTTATCTATATCTATACTAATATTATAAAGAGGAAAGATTTGTTTGTTTGTTTGTTTCGAATAGGCTCCGAAACTACTGGACCGATTTGAAAAATTATTTTTCCATTAGAAGCCGACATTGTCCCTGGTGAACATAGGCTACTTTTTTTTATTTATCTATACTAATATTATAAAGAGGAAAGATTTGTTTGTTTGTTTGATTCGAATAGGCTCCGAAACTACTGGACCGATTTGAAAAATTATTTTTCCATTAGAAGCCGACATTGTCCCTGATGAACATAGGCTACTTTTATTTATTTATTTTTTATTTTATTTTTTTGGTTTCATGTGTGTTTTAATGTTTCCGAAGCGAAGCGAGGGCGGGTCGCTACGTTCCAATTATAGCTATCTTTTTTACTCACGCGCTTATCCCATCTTTTATACTTTTCATTAATGCTACTTGTCAACATGTGTGTGCACTATATCGGTAGGTATGTAGATATATATGGCGCGATCAGATTTGAAGAGTCAGTTACTATGAAGATAACATATCTGTTGTATAAAAAATCATTGTTACGATGATACAAATTATTCAAACTCTATGTACAGATGATAGATTTTTAACGGGATTTACGAGACTTCTAAAGCTTATACAGTATGAGCTCTAGTAACCAATTAACCGATCCGGTGGAATAATAAACAAAAAAAACAAAATGTGTGTCATTCACACGTGGTAGAAGTGAAACCTTCCAAAATTAAAATACAATTATCCTAAACGTCTTAAGTATATGTAAAATTTTGTCATTAGTAAATAATTGTAAGGTAGCGCCCTCTGTGAATTGATATTTTAATTTCACGTATGATCCTAAATTAAAATTCACTACAAGAGCTTTCGTACACACGTTAGTATTAAAAAATCTCACAGATGGCGCTGTATTAAATAGTATGTATATTTCTGTCTCATTCTTTGCTGGCTTCATCCTACACATTTTTGTATTTGTGTCTCTTACCTGTCGTTTTTTCCGTTGCATCCGGTTTGAAATCACAACGATTCTAAAGAAGTTTTCACNGAACCAAAAAACTATTAATTTGTAAGCAATATCGAGATAATTTCGATATAGACATTTCGCTGTCGGACTTCCTTACTAGTCGCGGCGGCGAACGTGAGTACCCGTGGCCTGCAAACGGTGCTGCGCGAATGGTCGCCTCGTCCACCGCTTCGCTGTTCGCACCGCCGATCCCCGTGGCCAGGCCGTTAGGGCGAAGCTCATATAGCCTCTCAAGGCTATCAGCATAGGTGGGAGAAAAAAAGAAAAAGTGTTCGCCTAAAGGGAGCCAATGAAGGTGGCGCCACAGTAGCAAGTGGAAACCAGACTTCACTTCAACTTCAAACACTTGACCCTGTTTCATATATTCCCTGTTTCAATATTCATATCATTTCCACTTGCTACACTAGCGCTATCTCGGTGAGTCTTCCAACAACACCTTGCTGGACACTTTTCGAATTGTCCCTTAGACAAGATGTTGCTCCTTACCACTGCCCTCCATAATACAAATATTACACGAAGTTCGATCTATGTAGTTCAATTCGGAACGATATTACCGTGTCTCCTCAATTTTTAATTACAAAAACAACCACATGGAAATGAAGTAAGACATATTAACAAAGGTATGTTACTTTGTTATGTGAATGTCGGTACCATCTGGCGTGAGCCGCGATGCGGAACGATGGCCGTGAATCTTCTAACGCCTAGTCCAGCGGCTCTCAACCTTTTTTACTCGACGACGCATTAACATAATCTTTACAATTTCACGACTCATACATGCTAAACTTTTGTTAGTTGAAGTGAAGGTAGAAACACCATTAATCTATTAAACTTAATTGTACTCCTCCTCCTCCTTGCGGCATGTTCCTCAGCGCTGAGGGTCGTGATCTTTACGAAGCACTTTTGTTAGGACCAAATTACTCTATTCCTTCCTATCCTCTGCGCAGTGGATGCGACATTGATGCTGGAGTCCAAGATCTTAATTT